GGGGGGGGCTTTATTCACCTTTTTCTCAAACGTATTTAATTTTCAAGCGAGACGAATTTGGGACCCAACGAGTCCTGGAAGGGAAGGAGAGACGATTGTTCTAAATCTGTGCTTGCCTACCTACTACCTACCACCTGGGCGACGCCTCCCACTAGTGGGCGATTTGGTAATTTTGTGGGCGTTGGGGATCACCCAAGTAGTGGTAGGTATCATTAAATACATGTACCCCTCTTGGAAATACATGTTGGTGCGTGGTACGAAAAATGTTATTATCCTTTTAAGCCTAAAGGTAGTGAAAGTGGGCTCTGGTTGTGGGAGGACTGACGAGCACTGATCAAAAAGAACATTAATTAATCGGTGCTGATGGCGACATCTACACTTCTGCTTATCTATGGTTTTTCTAGGCAGCTACGGCGTTTGTGACACACAATCTTTGGCTTTTATCTAACAATTTTTTTTATTTGTTACACACAATATTCGATTTGTACAACCCAATTTTTTAAATGTATGTTTTGGGTTACCCATTTTAAAAACTGTGTCAACAATCTTTGATTTGTATTTATCGTACTGTATTAGCGTTCTATCCTACTGGATACAAACAAAGATTATGTCTAGCAAGACGTTAATCAAACCAATACAATAAACCAACAAGCTAAGTTCAAACACACCGTGGGAATGCGATATGTCGTCGTTTCTTCAGAAAACAAAATGCGTGAGTACGCGTAACGGTTCCCTTGGCCACACAAGCATTAAGTTAATGGATTGAAAAGTATTGCATTGGAAACTAAAATTAAGAAAATTTTGAATCTAGTCCTTATGCGAGCTAAACTACAGTCCAATGACAAACAAAAATATTCTGGGAAATGACACCATTCATTAAAATGTTGCAATGTAGGACTTTGGCTTCCACTAACGAAATAGAGTAGCCTATACTATGGTTTTATATCATAAAACGGGGGTTCTCGAAGAGTACAAAACATTTCTATACTAAAACACAGCACCTAGATTGGGATTAGGTACCAAATGAAAGTAATAATTTCTTAGCTTCATAGAAGGGGAGCCTTAAGTGTTTTCGAGTGTTGGTTGTGGCTCTATTTTGTTCCCATTTTTCATGATCTAGTGCTCTTCTTGACTCTGCACCGCCAATCATTTGTGGACTGTGAATTACTTGAATAACAGTGAGGGATCTCTTGAAGTTAAAAACGTAGTTGAGGCATACAGAGCTAGTCTTGTAAGATCTGGGTTCGTGACAACATGTTGTGGCATTGACACACCCGTCCTTTTACACTACGCCAAATGCTTTTCAGGGCTGAAGTGAAAGGCGTTGCCTGTGAATGTCTGATGACTACTTATTTAGGGGAGGAGCATTGATGTGTGCATAGGTTGCACAAATAGGGGTCGGGGGGGA